GGGGGGGGGGGGGGGGGGGGAGAAGACCATGTTGGGGCAGCTTTTGGCGCTCTTTGGTTTGACGGCTGAAGAGCACGTTCCAGACGGAAGCGGGGCTACCCGAGGGACCCCCACGGAGAGTGGGGCCGGGTACCCAAATGCTGCACAGTGAGCGTGATCCATCAGTGCGGGTGGAAAACACGTCCAAAGGGAGGCGCGCCACCACCGTCAGAGTCCCCTCTAATGTGGGAGTGAGCCGCTTTCCCATGGTGCTTGGCAGCAATTTGACCCACAATCCCCCGCTGGGCGTCTGCAGGCGGATCGAGGGAGCTTCGCCCCTTGGCGTGAGTTTGGGGACGTGAGAACCTCTCTCTTTCTAATCCCTTCTTTTATTAAAAAAAAACAAACACGTAGGGCAAGATGGCAACAGTATCATTGGGTCACAGTGGGAAATCGGCAGGTGCTATTCTGATTTCCGGGCTTTGTTCTCTTGAGGACTGGCAACTTGGTGACCGGGAGGGACCCCCCCCCCAAAAATAAAATAAACGGTTTGCAAGGGGCCAAGCCCTGCTCTGGGAATCTAGGAGAACCAAACCGTGTTCTGCACCTCCACAATCTGGAGCTGCCTGTCCCCCGGGGGTCTGACGGACTTGCTTCTTCCTGTGCCGCCTCCGTCATACGCAGGCCCGGGGAACCCCGAGGCGCTGGGGTCGGCCCGCGAGGGAGCCGGGCCCGGCCTCTGTGCGATCAACGGGTGAAACAGACCGGCGGGCAAGGGGTTTTTCGTCCCGGGGGTCGGCTCCTTTGCCGAGCCTGGCCAACAATCCCCAACCAACTGGAGTGGTTCATTTAATACCACTGGAGAAGGCTCCCCAAAATAAGAACACCTTTGCTTTTTTTAAAAAAAGAGAAGAGCCACACTTCCCCTTTCCCCCTAGAAACCGAAAGGAAAAGAAGCGATAAAAGGGGAAAGAAAGGGGGAAGGGGAAATTGCTGGGGAAGACGGAGCCGTGTCCCGCCTTCCCCTTTATTCTGAGAAAACAGGGTCTCCGCGGGGAGGGCCCCGCGGCAGACACAGCCTCTCGGCGATGGCTCCCTGGCACTCTCTGGTGGTTCTCTTCGCCCTCTGGAGGTTGGAGACCGCCCGTTCCGCACCTGTGACGCTCCCCCTCCCCCTCAGTCCTCCTCGTCCTCGCTGATGTCGTAGGTGATCGTGGACTTGTTCCGGGAGAGGCCGGTGGGGGAGGTTGGCGGCGTCCGGGCCGTGAAGGGCCAGCGGAAGGACGGCGAGGGAGAGCGGTCGTGGGTGGGGCTGCTGCTGGGGCTCTGCTTGGGGCTGATGGCCTGCAGCATCCGGCCTTTGCCCTCCTTCAGCATGTGTTTCTGGAGGGGAAAGAGAGAGAGAGAAACGGTTCAGAAGCCAGCCAGCCGGAACCTTCGGGGAGGCGTTCAGGCAGGTTTCGTTTTGGGGGGGGGGGGTTTAAAAGAGGACGATGCTTTGATTCCTACTTCTCTGAATCATGCGGTCGTGACTAAAGGAAACTTCCATGCTCAAAGGCAGTCAACCTCTGAATCCCAGAGCCCGGAGGCAATGTCAGGGGAAGGCCTCGGCCTCTGTGTCCTGTTGTGGGACCCCCAGAGGAACTGGTTGGCCACTGTGTGAGACCGGATGCTGGAGTAGATGAACCCTCACTGGTCTGATCCAGCAGGGCTCTCCTGATGTTCTTCTGAAGGCCTCGGCCTCTCTGCCCTGTTGTTGGCCCTCCAAAGGAACTGGTTGGCCCCTGTGTGAGACAGGATGCTGGACTAGGTGGACCCTCACTGGTCTGATCCAGCAGGGCTCTTCTGATGTTCTTCTGAAGGCCTCGGCCTCTCTGCCCTGTTGTTGGCCGTCCAAAGGAACTGGTTGGCCCCTGTGTGAGACAGGATGCTGGACTAGGTGGACCCTCACTGGTCTGATCCAGCAGGGCTCTTCTGATGTTCTTCTGAAGGCCTTGGCCTCTCTGCCCTGTTGCTGGCCCTCCAGAGGAACTGGTTGACCACTGTGTGAGACAGGATGCTGGACTAGATGGACCCTCACTGGTCTGATCCAGCAGGGCTCTTCCGGATGTTCTTATCGGGGGAAGGACTTGGCCTCTATACTCTGTTGTTGGCCGTACAGAGGAAATGGCTGGTCACTGTATGATAAATATGGACAAACACGACCCAATCAGAAAATAAGTATAAAGACAACAGTCGTGAGAGTCTGACCCACAAATCAAGCAGTCACCAGGACTTGCAAAGAAAAAGCTTCCTATGTATTATAATCTAAAGCACTACAACATCATTAATAAATTATAGGAAAATCCTTGTGCATAGGTACATAATTTACGTCGTCTCCGGATTATATAACAACGTTTCAATAATGGATCTTCCTCAGGGGATATTAAAGTAGTACAAAAGCTCTCCGTATCCATCTCTCCCGGGATCCATTTAGAAGCTTAGCAGCATATTCGAGCCTGAACATTTATTGAGATCAGCGTCCTATCTGAATGTTGTATTCTTTATGACTTGTTGTCAAGCACTTCATGAGTACAGAGAGCTTTTGTACTACTCTAATATCTCCTGAGGAACATCTTTAAAATCAACGACAAAAGAGAAAAGATTGACTCCGTTTTTAAAGCCAAAGAATTTTTGAGACGCCAGTTGGGAATGGAAGAAGAATCCAAAGATGAAGAACCGAAATCAAGTGACTCTGCTACCTCTGGAATGGAAGAGGACTCTGCTGTAGAAACGGGTGCAGGCGCAACGAAAGTGACATATGATTTCAGAGACAGAAAACCGAAGTAAAGGCAGAATTGCTTTTTGAAGCCACAAGAAGATGCTCAGAAAGTTCTCTCACAACAACTACCATACTAACATTGAAGCCGAGACAAACAAGAACTCTACAAGTATATTGTTGTAAAAGGTAAAGGTTCCCTTGCTTGAAAGCCAGTCGATTCCGACTCTAGGGTTGCGGTGCTCATCTCCGCTTCAAAGCCGAAGAGCCAGCGCTGTCCGAAGACGTTACCGTGGTCATGTGGCCGGCATGACTAAACACCAAAGCTGTTCCCTTCCCACCGAAGTGGTACCTATTTATCTACTTGCAATTTCTTGCTTTCGAACTGCTCGGTTGGCAGGAGCTGGAAGTAGAGACGGGAGCTCACTCCGTCATGCGGCAACTCGGGTCTCGAACTGCTGAACTACTGACCTTCCACAGCCTGCAGTTCAGCGTCTTAACCACTTGAGCCACCGCAGCTCCTTAGTATTTATTTATTTATTTATTTATTGTTGTACTAACACTTTTATTAATAACACTTAGACTAACATGGATATGATCACCTCCTCTTGGGGTTTTTAGTGTAGTGTGGTTATCGATCCTTTATCCTTAGATGTTATCCCACTCCCTCATAGTTTCTTTGTAGTTTTGTAGTCTTGTAAAAAAAGAATAAAAAATACCCCTCCGGGGATTTAAAATAAATAAATTAATAATAATAATAATAATAATAATAATAATAATAATAATAATAATAATATCATCATCATCATCTCCTGAGGAAGATCCATTATTGAAACGTTGTTATATAATCTGGAGATTCTGTGCCTATGCACAAGGATTTTCTTATGATTTATGAATGATGTTTTTCGTGCTTTAGATTGTAATACATAGGAAGCTTTTTGGGCCAGACTCTCACGACTGTTGTCTTTATACTTATTTTCTGGCCACTGTATGAGACAGGATGATGGACTAGATGGACTACTGGTGTGGCCCAACAGGGCTCTACTTATGTTCTTGACCTCCATGTTCAGAGGCAGTCAACCTCTGACTCCCAGTGTCAGGAGACAACACCAGGGGAATGTGTTGGACCAGATGGACCCCTGGTCTGATCCAGCAGGGCTCTTCTGATGTTCTTACGGAGGCCCCGGCCTCTGTGCCGTGTTGTTGGCCCTCCAGAGGAACTGGTTGGCTGCCATGTGAGACGGGATGCTGGACTAGGGGGACCACTGGCCTGATCCAGCAGGGCTCTTCTGATGGTCTTACAAAGGCCTCGGCCACTCTGCCTTCTTATTGGCCCTCCAGAGGAACTGGTTGGCCACTGTGTGAGACAGGATGCTGGACCAGGTGGACTACTGGTCTGATCCAGCATTACTCTCCTGATCTTATCCGTCTAGTCCAGCATCCTGTCCCCTGAGACCTTCACCCCTCGAGACCAGTGTTCCCTCTAAGCTGTGGAGTCTTGTGAGCAAAAATTCTCCTTTGCGAGCGACTGGCATTAAAGTTGTGAGCGAGCGATTTGGCTGCTGCATACATCAGTTTGCTCTGGAGCCATCCTTCCCGAGCGAAGGCAAAAATCTGTGAGCCGGAGGCTAAAAAATTGTGAGCTAGCTCACAATTTTTTAGCCTCCGGCTCACAGATTTTTGCCTTCGCTCGGGAAGGATGGCTCCAGAGCAAACTGATGTATGCAGCAGCCAAATCGCTCGCTCACAACTTTAATGCCAGTCGCTCGCAAAGGAGAATTTTTGCTCACAAGACTCCACAGCTTAGAGGGAACATTGCCCGAGACCCTCCTTTTTGTTGTGGCACGGGATGGAGAAAGTGGGTAGGGGGAACTTTCCCCTCCCTCTCCCATAATACCAGAACTTTGCGGAGGAGAATCAACGTATGCGCTCCGGGACCTGACCACGTGTGAGACACCTGCGGCAAAGCGCAGTACAAAGGGCAGGGGTGCCCCCAAGCCCTTGGGGGATAGGCAGAGATGGGAAAAGCTCCGTGACTCCTTACCAGCGCTCCTTCGGGGCCGAACATCTCCAGGAAGTTCCCGATGAACTCGCGGGATTTCTCCTCCCATTTCTGGATGAGGTCGATGCTCTTCTCCTCCACTTTCTGGACAAACTCCTTGGACTTCTCCTCCACGTCCTTCACTCTCTTCTTCACCTTATCGACGCGCTCCTGCAAATGGTACTTCTTCTCCTGGGAAAGACAAGGGGATTTGGGTGGGTAATGATGCCAGTGGCCCCCACACAGAGGACGGTGCACGCTCCCCTCGATAAGGTAGGCTCAGATTCGGTGTACAAAAAGTCTTGAATTTGGTTGCCGAGATTTGGTGCATCCATAAAATGGGTTTCGAAGGCAAGATCTGGATTTCAGAAAGTTTGGCACCTCCTGTAAAACTCGGGGACAAAAAAAGGAGGTGACAAAAGCCATATCTAAAGGGCACAGAGGCAACCCAGAATATCAGCACCTCTTCCCTTAGAGCAATGGTGTAGAACTCATTTGTTATGAGGTCCAGATCTGACATAAATGAGACCTTGTTGGGCCGGGCCATGTGTGCCATAAAATGTAATGCCAGGGAGCGGAGACAGAAACTTTATAAAAAACACAAACACAAAGGGTTGTGTTGTTTTTTACTTAAAAACATGCTTAAAACTTTAGCACGCTTGCAATATTTTGTTTATTTAACAGTGTCTGATAACTGACACCTCTTGCTCTGAATTATTGCATCAAAATGTCTGTCCTGCTGCATTCTTGAGTATGCTGTTCAGGTGCGTATCTGTAAGCTGCAAACCTAGGATGATGCAGCAGCAGCAGAATTGGAAGAAGCAGCAGAAGACAGCCAGTTCCACTGCGGGCCTGATAGGAGCCCTCCGGGGGGCCTGATCTGGCCCCCGGGCCACATGTTTGACACCCCCTGCTCTATGGGACTGCCAAACATTGGTTGCGACTTGATGGCATTTGCCCCCCGTCAACGCCTCTTCTCTTACCTTGCAGAGTCATAGTGAGACTGTAAAATGAAGGAAGAGAACCCTACGAATGCCACACTCGGCCTTGTGGAGGATAAAAACGTCTCCGACCAATGAAAGCAAGCGAGTTCCAGGCCAGAGCCTGTCGGCTACCAGGTCTTTCCGAGCAACCCCAGATTCCCCTTCAAACCAGCTGGACCACAGAAGTCACCGCGTGACAGAAAAGGAGCTGGCGGGACTCACGTTAATGAAGCTGACATTGAGCTCTTTGGCTGTGTAGCCTCTCTGCAGGTTCCGCCGCGCGTAGACGTCGTAGTCCCGGACAATGCGGGTGATGATATCCGACGTGGAGATCCCTTCCGTCCTCTGGGTTGGCGCAAACATTCCTAGAAGAGACAGAATACAGCTTGGCTTGGCGTGTGTCTGTGAAGCCCTGGCCTGGATGGCACAGCCTAGCCTGATCTCGTCAGATCTCTGAAGCTCAGCAGGGTCGGCCCTGGTCAGCACTTGGATGGGAGACCAGCGAGGGGGACCAAGGTCACGACGCAGAGGCGGGCAAGGGCAAAGCACCTCTGACTGTCTTTTGCCCTGACCTCGATGGCTCACGCGAGCCACTTTGGTGTCTTGGTGAGATGCGCGGACTCTAATCTGGGAGAGCCGGGTTTGATTCCCCACTCCTCCACTTGCACCTGCTGGATGACCTTGGGCAAGCCCTAGTTCTGACAAGAGCTGTTCTTGAAAAAGAGTTGTTTCTGTCAAGAGCTCTCTCAGCCGCACCTTCCTCCCAGGGTGTCTGTTGTGGGTCAGTCACGAGTTCTCTCAGAGCTGTTCTCTCAAGGGCAGTCCTCAAGAGAGCTCTCTCAGCCCCACCGACCTCACAGGGTGTCTGTTGTGGGGAGAGGAAGGGAAAGGAGATTGCAAGCCAGTTCGCTGTCGTGGTTAAGTGCGCGGACTGTAATCTGGGAGAACCGGGTTTGATTCCCCACTCCTCCACTTGCACCTGGCTGGATGACTTTGGGCAAGCTGTAGTTCTGAGAAGAGCTGTTCTTGAAAAAGAGAACTTTCTGTCAAGAGCTCTCTCAGCCCCACCGACCTCACAGGGTGTCTGTTGTGGGGAGGGGAAGGGAAAGGAGATTGTAAGACAGTTTGGTGTCGTGGTTAAGTGCGCAGACTCTAATCTGGGAGAACCGGGTTTGATTCCCGACTCCTCCACTTGCACCTGGCTGGATGACCTTGGCCAAGCCGTAGTTCTGATAAGAGCTGTTCTTGAAAAAGAACAGTTTCTGCCAGAGCTCTCTCAGCCCCACCTACCTCACGTGATATCTGGTCTGGGGAGGGGGAGGGAAAGGAGTTTGTAAGCCCCTCTGAGACACCTTTGGGTAGTGAAGGGCCATGGGGTATAAATCCAATCTCTTCTTCTTCTCTTCTAGCCTGATCTCATCAGATTTCAGAAGCTAAGCGGGAACATGAGGAGGAGGAGGAGGAGACTGGATTTATACCCCGCCGTTTACTACCTGAAGGAGTCTCAGAGCGGCTTACAATCAATGCTCCCTCTAAGCTGTGGAGTCTTGTGAGCAAAAATCCTACTTTGTGAGCTACTGGAATTAAAGTTGTGAGCGAACGATTTGGCTACTGCGTGAATTAGTTTGCTCTGGAGCCATCCCTTCCTGAGCTGAGACAAAAATGTGTGACCCAGTGGAGGCTAAAAAACCATGAGCTAGCTCACACTAAGTTAGCTTAGAGGGAACGCTGCTTACAATCCCTTTCCCTGCCCCTCCCCACAACAGACACCTGGTGAGGTAGGTGGAGCTGAGAGAGCTCTCTCCAGAACTGCCCTTGAGAGAACAATTCAAAGCGCGAGCCCAAATGTCCGGGTGATGGGCAGGTCAGACACGAAACTTCTTCCTGTTTATTAGTTGAGCCCCTTCAGGACATGTGCCTCACTAGGACCTGTACTCACTTCCTAAGAACACAAGAAGAGCCCTGCTGGGTCAGACCAGTGAGGGTCCATCTAGTCCAGCATCCCGTCTCACACAGGGGCCAACCAGTTCCTCTGGAGGGCCCACAAACAGGGCATAGAGGCTGAGGCCTTCATAAGAACATCAGAAGAGCCCTGCTGGGTCAGACCAGTGAGGGTCCATCTAGCCCAGCTTCCCGTCTCACACAGGGGCCAGCCAGCTCCTCTGCAGGGCCAACAACTGGGCATAGAGGCCGAGGCCTTCCCCTGATGCTGCCTCCTGGCTCTGGGATTCAGAGGCTTTGTGCTTTTGAATGTGGAGGTTCCCCTCAGCCACCATGGCTAGTAGCCTGTCAGCTATGCTGCCATGGGGGTAGGGGAGTTCATTCTGTGTCTTGGTAATTGCTATTGCATTCCTATCTCTGCTGTTCTGCCTGTGCAGAAATGCTTATCTCTACAGATGTGCAGGAGGAGGTTGTGTTGGAGGTTGTATTGTCTGGAAGTCTCCGATGTCCCGTGAGAGACTACTTCTTCCCAGCTTTCCCCACCCACAGGAGGGTACCTAATTGGTCCACGCCATGGGGGGGGGGGGCATACGAATGCCCTATATCCTATTATGCTCAGTGGGTTGCCACCATTCTTAACAGTGCCTGTGTTACTGCATCTATAGCTTTGCAATAAACGTATAACCATTCCTGAATGCGTGTACTTCGTTGTAAGCTGTGGGTTCTGACATAGCCACTGCTAGAACTATCCTCCACGAATCTATCTAAACCCCTTTCAAACCTGTTTATTCATGCGGCCATCACTACATCCTCTGGCAACGAATTCCATATTTCAATCCCTCCCTGTGTGAAGTGGTCTTTCCTTTTGTCCGTCCCGAACCTACTGCCCGTCAGCCTCATCGGACTCACCTGCTTCCTTTATGTGCTTATAGACGTCGTCGCTCCCGGCAGAGGAATATGGGATGTCGTCGTGGGCAACAAAGTCAATCTGCAGTTGGGCGATAAAAGCCGTCAGCAGAAGAGCAAACGGGAACAGAGACTGCTTGGCATGGGGGGAGAGAGAGAGCTGGGAGGGGGAGGCTGTCACGGCGGGACCCCCGAGCCAAAATGACCCGGGTGCCCTGGGCAGGAACTGGCAGTGCAAGAGAGCATGGCGGTGGGATGGAAGACACTTCAGCCCTCTGCTTGCCCCGAGAGATTTCCGGCCCCCAATGATAGAAAAGTACCAGGGGAAAGCAGGAGGCCATACAGCTGCCCATTTTGACTTTCAGAACCCCTCACACCTTAAGGACACAAGAGGAGCCAAGTGGTGGATCAGGCCAATGGCCCATCCAGTCCAACATTCTGTGTCACACAGTGGCCAAAACCCAGGTGCCATCAGGAGGTCCACCAGCAGGGCCAGAACCCCAGAAGCCCTCCCACTCTTGCCCCCCAAGCACCAAGGATACAAAGCATCACTGCCCCAGACATAAGAACATAAGAGAAGCCATGTTGGATTGGGCCAGTGGCCCATCCAGTCCAACACTCTGTGTCACACAGTGGCCAAAACTCAGGTGCCGTCAGGAGGTCCACCAGCAGGGCCAGAACCCCTCCCACTCTTGCCCCCCAAGCACCAAGAATACAGAGCATCACTGCCCCAGACATAAGAACATAAGAGAAGCCATGTTGGATTGGGCCAGTGGGCCGTCCAGTCCAACACTCTGTGTCACACAGTGGCCAAAACCCAGGTGCCATCAGGAGGTCCACCAGCAGGGCCAGAACCCCAGAAGCCCTCCCATTCTTGCCCCCCAAGCACCAAGAATACAGAGCATCACTGCCCCAGACATAAGAACATAAGAGAAGCCATGATGGATCAGGCAGGTGGCCCACACAGTCCAACACTCTGTGTCACACAGTGGCCAAAACCCAGGTGCTGTCAGGAGGTCCACCAGCGGGGCCAGAACTCCAGAAGCCCTTCCACTCTTGCCCCCCCCCCAGCACCAAGAACCTGCCTCTGGGGTCAGTCTAAAAACACAAGGGATGCTCAACACCACCCCCGGTCTTCTTTACCCTGTGGTCAGCCAGGAACTCCGGTGTGAGCGTCCACGGGGCGTTCCGCACCACCTCGTCCACGTAGCGGCAGTGCTGCACGGCATCGTAGCGCTCGTTCTCGTTCATCACTGTGAAGCCCTTGAAGTTGTGGGTTAGTTCGTCGCTGCAGACTGCGAGTGGAGAAAACAACAAGTGATACAAAGTCGGGGAGCGGTGCGGCTCACTTGCGAAGGGTCCCAAACCTCATACCCCCCTGCAAAGACAAAGGCGGAAGCGCTTGGGGCTCTTTAGCTTGGAGAAACGACAGCTGAGGGGTGACATGATCGAGGTTTATAAGATTATGCATGGGACAGAGCAGGTTGAGAAAGAAGTCCTTTTCTCCCTTTCTCACTATACAAGAACTCGTGGGCACTCAATGAAATTGCTGAGTGGTCGGGTTAGAACAGATAAAAGAAACTCCTTCTTCACCCAAAGAGTGATTAACACTTGGAATTCACTGCCACAGGCTACAAGCATGGACGGCTTCAAGAGGGAACTGGATAAACATCGGGAGCAGAGGTATTGATAGGGACTCTGGGGCAAGTGATGCTCTGTATTCTTGGTGCTTGGG